GGAACTGGGTGTGGTGGCACACGCCTTTAATCCCAGCACTCAAGAGACAGAGGCAAGCAGATCTCTGTGATTTTCAGAGTAAACCTGGTATGCAGAGTGAATTCCAGGACAGATAAGAGTTACACAGAGAAACCCTGTCTCAAAAAATAAAAAGTAAAAGAAACAGAGTAATAATAAAGCCACATAAAGATGAAAAGCTCAGAGAGAATCGGGTTACTGTATGCTATTGTGTTGTCTCTGCATTCTTTGACTGCTGAAAAAATAACAACAATTGATAAAGGAAATGTTGCTGGATTAAGTCAATTTATATATTTTAAAAATGCTTTGACTCAAAAATTTAAGTTCAAGGACAAGTTACTGGGGAGAAGGATTTCTATTTTTGTTTCCACAGAAATTGAAAAGCTGTGGATTCCTTCCAGACTAATGTGGTTTGAGCAAGCCAGACCCCCTGAAACAGTTCCTGATGATCCAACATTCAAAACAGCTTGGACAAGGCAGTCTTGCAGACTACAGCCAGGATTACTGCTTCTTCTTAGGATCCCCCATGACAGCGCCCCCTACCAGCAGGAAGTAGTTTAGAAAGAACGACGCCCAAATTCCCAAATATTGTTTATAAATGTTTGTTTTCATTTAAATGGGGTTGGTTATAAATGGTTAATGATCACAGCCAGTTATTTTTAAAGGTAAAAAGGGAATTATGGTGTAGATATGAATACTTTGTTTTGGAATGGATTTTCATTTATTGATACAATTTAAGGTCAATTTTGTGATGTGTATATTCTTTTGTTTAGGTATTGTGTTTATATAGCTCATTTAGAAATGTAATGTATAATGTAGTACAGATAATAGATTATTATCTATGATAGTCAAAGTTTAGAGTTAAGTTAGTTAGGTTGTTCAAGATACACAGAGATGTATTTGAGATAGATAGGCATTCTTCAAACCTTTCAAAGACCTACAGAATATGGCATTTAAAATGGTTTAGGGTTTTCGTGACAGTGAGACATAATTGCTCTTGGCAATACCACCTGCACCAGAAAAGAAGATGGACATTGAAGAAACTCGTGATGGAGTTTACTTCCAATATGCAAGACTAGCCATTTGGACAAAGATACTGCTCTTGTCTGGAATGTTTGACTTTGTATAAACTGGACATGCAGGACCCACAGAAAAGTGACTGCTGATTCAAGATGGACATTGCTACAGAGTTCCTGCTTCATGGAAGAGTCTGCGAGACAGAGAAAAGTGACTGATAAACTGCCAATACAAGAAGACAGTTTAAAGTTTCCTGCGTTGCTAAAGAGTCTGCTAGACACACTATGGCCTATGGGCTGAAGATGGAAGATTATAAAAGAACTTCGGGTGACCAGGCAGTGAGTTGTTTCTGTCATTTCTAGAGTTTATATACTATCCTTCTGTGGTCTTTGATGGAGTTGAAGACAAATAGTTATGGTTATAGTTTTCCTTAGTTAGGTTTAAAGATAAGTTACTTAGACTTTAGACACACAAAGATAGAATAGATGATGGAATATTTTCTTCAAATCTTGCTAAATGTTAATGGACTAAATAGTGTTAACTGTGATTCTTATTTGATAACTGTTATGTGATATATTTTGCTATGTTAAGGTTAAAACCCTTCTTTTTATTTAGACAGAAAAGAGATGATGGGAGATGTCATTCTGTATATGTTTCTCATACTGGTTAATAATAAAGCACTGTTGGCCAATAGGAAAGGAAGATAGGAGGGACTAGGAGACAAGGAGGAAATAGGAAGTAGTAAGGAGGAGTCACGATGGAGAGTCTGAAGAAAGCAGTATGCTGCCGGCTCCCCGGTAAGAGAAATACATAGATCAGCAGAAATGGGTTAATAATTAAGATAGAGCTAGCCGATAAGAAACTAGTAACTGGCCAACAGGATAATATCAAATACAGAGTCTCTGTGTGTTATTTGGGGCTGGCGGCGTGGCAGCAGCACAAGATCAGGCGGCGGGCAGAAAAACCGTACTCCTTACAGTTCTCTGCTTCCAACATGTGAATCCCAGGAATGGATCGCAGTGGTTAGTATTGGCAGCAAGTGACTTTACCTACAATAGGGTTTTGGTACAGGAGAGAATTTGTAGATCACAAAAGCCAATTTGATATGTTTGGAGTCAGTGACCTGGAGTGGTATTCCTAACTCTGCAACTTACCAATTGTGTGTTCTTAGGCAAGTCCACTTGCTTCCTAGACTCTCAGTTTCTTAGTCTGTGAAAAAGAAACAACAAACATTTCTATATAGGTGTGTGACAGTTGATGTTAGGCATCCACCTGACTGGATGGATTAATGAATTCTCAGCCCATTATGTGTGAGTGTGTTTGCTGGGCATGTCTGGAAAAGACTGCAACATGAATCAGTGGGCTGAGGCCAATAAGGGAAGTCCTCTAAGTCACAGGTATCAGTCCTCTGTCCTTCAGCATAAGAACTTCAAGTACTCTGATCTTCAGGCTCAGAGACTTACACCAGTTCCCTCCCAATCCCTGGCATCTTCTTGGACCTTCAGACTAAGACTGAGCTCTTTACATCATCAGCTCTTCTAGTTCTCGGGTCTTTGGAGTTGGACTGAGCTATGTCATAGACTTCCATGGTTGCCAGTCTGATGGCAGCATACTGTGGGGGCTTAGCCTTGGTAATAAATCCCCTCATGGATCTATACCCTATTGGTTTCTTCCCTGGAGAACACTGCCTAATAGGGTCTCTGGGAGAACTGACCAAGCTAACAAATAAACGAACAAGGCTTGAACTAGTAAATACCAGTTGGATGGGATCTCCTCCCCTCATCCCCATCCCATTTTGTTGAGCTGTGTTGTTACATTTGACATGTTCTGGTCTCTATTACAGGAATGCTTTCCAGAAAGACTAGGTTGGGAAGGTTCGTGTGGACCCACATTTGCTGACATGAACTGACTGTCAAGATGGGTCAGCTAAGACAGCCTCAGTACAGCTTGCAGAGATGAGCTAGAACCTTCCAGACTCTTGAGTCTACAGAAGCTGCCACAGAGGAGTCAGCTCATAGGAATGTACAGAACAAGACTGTGGTGGTTTGAATAAAATGGCCCCTGTAGGTTCATAGAGAGGTCCACTATTAGGAAGTGTAGTCTTGTTGGAGGAAGTATATCACTGGGGATGTGCTTTGAGGTTTCAGAAGCTCAAGCCAAACTTAGTGGCTCATTCTCCCTTCCTGCTGCCTGTCAATCTGGATGTAGAACTCTCAGCTACCTTTCTAGCAGCATGTCTGTCCTGTAGGGGAAAAGGGGCAGCCAAAGAAACACACTTTGGCTTTGTAACCAGAACCAAAGAAACACATCCTGACCCTGAAAGTAGTGCCAAAAAAAATATACTTTGTCCCTGGAATCAGAGCCAGTGAAAGAAATATACCCTGGTCCTAAAATTAGAGCCAAAAGGCTAAAAAGAACAAGTGAAAGAAACCAGAGCCCTGAAACCAGAGCCAAATCTAACCCTAAACCTGTGCATAAAACTAACCAATCCCTGAGCATGAGATCTAGCTATCCTAAGCTCAGGGATTGAAATCTGACCAATCCCCACCCTGTAAATCTCCCTGGAAAAACTCTGCCCCCTAAGAAGCCCTGTATAAACCCTGTGTCTGTTCAGCTTGTGGTTGTCCAGCTGCGGTGGCAACCTTCCTGTATTCTTACCTTCCAATAAATATCTTGAATTATTTGGGTGAGACCTTCCTCCACCAGAATGGAATGGAGGAGAGAAGTAACTTTTTGCTGGAGCCAGAGCAGAGCTAGCAGAGCTCAGCTGTAACACCTTTTTTAGGGAAACCTTCCCCTAGCTTTGCCAGGGAAGTCCCTCCCTTCTGGAACAGAGCTGATACACTGGGGGAAGCCTTTCCCTGGAGCAAGGCTGTAAGCTGCTACACTTACTGCCACCTGTGGTACTCCTTGGCTCCTGATTGCCAGAAACACTTTTCCATGAGAGCTGTAACACTCAGTATTCTTTGGCTCTTGAGTACTTCCCACCATGGCAATAATGTATTAAACCTCTGAACTGTAAGTCAGCCCTAGTTAAATGTTTTCCTTCATAGGAGTTGCCATGGTCTTTGTATTTCTTCACAACAATAGAAACCCTTAGACAAAGATCTTCCCACAAGGCAATGCCAGGCCCTGGACTCAATGCAGGTTCAAATACTGCATATGAATATGTGGGGTATTTTCTTAATTGCAAGCTTGGGAGATTATGGGTACCCACTTTGGTGCACCTCAATATGTCAGCCTCTCTTCTCCTGGGAAGAAGTCACATGGTCCTCCCCAATGGAGTGGTTGTCAGCTTTCCTAAAGTTGTGACCCTTTAATATAGTTCTTCATGCTCTGGTGACTCCCAACATAAAATTATTTCGTTGCTACTTCTTAGCTACAAGTTTGCTACTATTATGAACTATAGTGTAAATATCTGATATGCAGGATATCTGATATAGACCGCTGTGGTCGAGAACTGCTGTCCTAATGCCTTTTATGCTCTGGTTCTATATCCATGATCCATTTTGTCCTACTTTCTCACACTGTATTCTAAGGAAAGCATATATTGCTTTTTAGGGCTCCAGGGAGTTGGTGCAAAGAGTGAGGGCATTCAATATGTAGCTACACAAAGGTGGGTTGCAACAGACCAGGGTCACCTCTTTTACTCTGGAAAACTATGAGAGATAGGGAGTGAAGCTGGGTTCAAGAGAAGGAGGGGGCCTAAAGGACCAAACCAAGGTGCGGATTGGGCATCAGAGAAGCCCCAACTCCACAAAGGGTCTGCTCGTCCTGGCTGACCCCCACTCTGTAATGGGGAGGCGGTAAGAATGCACTCAGTGAGGCACCATAAGTGGTGAGCATGCTGGGATAGTATGAACTGACTGACTATTTGACTTCGGGCGGGCACAGTCAGAGCTTATGCAGAACCTCTGAGCTCGCCTCTTAGTAGCCCGGTCTGCGCATGCGCCCCCGGGCAGCCAGGTGAGAGCGCGGTGGTAGCAACCTCACACCTGGGCTTTAACTCTTCCGGGTCACGGGCGTGGGCGGATGCCGAGTGGGAGAAGAGAAGCAGGTCTTAAAGCCCCTGGATCCGCTAGGCGCTTCCTGGAGCGTCCAGGCCGGGGTCGGTGCCCTCCTCATTCGGGAGGGAGGGGGGTAAGCGCTGGGCGGAGCGAAGTCTCGCGAGATCTGGCCGTAGCGGCGGCAGCAGCGGCGGCGGCGGCGGCCCGGGAGGTGAGCGGCGGTCGGGCAAGAGGCGGCCGTTGGGCTGAGGAAGGGGATAGCTACGGAAGGCGAGGCCGGGCTCGGGGAGAGGGGTGGGTAGAAAGCCCGTGTTTTCTTTGGCTCCTCGAGGCTGCTGCGGCGCCGCCTGGTGCGCACTGTCCCGGGACTGGCGCGGGGCGGGGCGGGGCGGCCGCGGTTTTCGGGCCACCGGAGCCAGGCGTCCCTCTCCGGGGGTCCCTGCGCGCGGCTGCCACCCGATCTCCCCGGCAGCCCTGGCTTGGTTGGTGCCAGGCGCGTTACTTGCACGCTCTCACGCTGGAACTCAGGGACCTGCAGCACCCCGACCGAAGCCACACTGCGGGGACATGGTGGGATGGGGACGGCCCACGCCCCGGACGCACCTTCCATCCTCTTCCCCAGTCCTGCTCGCGCTCTTCTCCTGGGGCCCCCGTAGGCTGCATAGGGTGTGCCTGGAACCCCTGAAATTGTACGCAGCGTCCCATGTTTCTAGGGAGAAAGTTTGTCCTATCCCAGAAGGTTCCCTAAGCCCTGAATGTTCATCTTATGGCACTGTGTGAGAGAGCAGACTCTGGCTGAGAGTGATGGGGGTACGCTGGGCGTGCGGTCACAGCCCTGTGGGACATCTTAAGGCTTGCCTCGGGCAAAGGAAACTTTAATTCTTGTCTGAAGCCTGAGATCTCACTCTGCAGAATAGTGGTTGTGAAGCTTGTGATCAAGGCCTCTTTCTTCTGTGGCAAACGTTTGTAAAGCCCACCTTGCCACCCTGACACGAAGTTCATAAATAATATACCTTTATAGACATGGCCCAAGATCAGTGGAGTAAGGAAGAAATAAAAAGGAAGAGGTGTTGTAGCACTCGTATAGGTCTACTAGGAATACCGTAGAGCCTGCAGCCAGTGAGTATGTTTGGAGACAGACACACGTATGTATGTGTGTACACATGTATTTGGGTGTGTGTTAGAGTCAGGAACAAAGAGTGGAACTTGAGAAGACCTTCTTACTTGGGATAATTGGTGTTAATAAGAAAAACAGTGTAGGCTGAATGACAGCATACAAGATAAATCACAACCTGAATCCCTCAACACTCAAATAATACAGTCCCTCCAGGTACATAGTATTCCATGATATATTGTAACCCACCTTTTGCATCACAAACTTCGAGTTATCACCATTTAAGGGATCACACCAAATCCCTAATGTTTATCGTTGGTAACAAGGAAATAGATGAAATTGTTGGCTCTGGCAGTAGCAGCTCCACGTGTGCCTAGGCAGGGGTGCAGGTGAAATGTGCCCTGTGGAAGTTACCATGGCTCCCTGTTCCCTCACCACTTTGTCCTCCATAATTGGGGCAGTATGATGGGTGTTTCCCAGCGTATCTTGCCCAATGGTTCAGTATTGAATCCTAAAGTAATGTTAATCTGTGGTGAGCTCACGGGCCAGGGTAGCCTGGATTAACACCTCTACCACCCACATTTTGTATGGGTCTAGATCCTGGATCCCAAACCTAGATACTTTCTGCTGCCTGCTGTCTAAGAGTCTCTTCAGTAATTAACAGTGTGCCTTGGGGACAGTTCTGCCCCTTTGAGAACCACTATATAAAGCACACTCTCCTCTATCTAACTAATTATAACAGAATCTAATGCACACTTTTCATTGGGAATTAAAAACAACATTCTCTTTGATGTGTCTGGTATCTTTGCACTTTCATTGGTTATCTTCAAGTCTCAGGAGGTGGGGTTAATACTTGTTCACCTGCCTCTGTTTTTCTTCAGAGGGATCCTTGTTGGGAATTTTGGTTACACTTGAACTGCTGAGCAGCTTGAGGTGAAAAGGGAGTTGGAAGCCTTAGCAGCCTCAAGGATGGCATTGAGTACCAGTCAGTGCAGCCCTTACTTAAGTGACCTTTTCTGCTCTTATTAGAGAATTTGGAAAATACAGATGTGCTCCAAAGTGAAAACTAAAGTTGTCTGTCTAAGCTGTTCTGGGGATGGCTCACAAAAAAACTGTCTTCACAGGTCAGTTGTAGCTGAAAGTTCAGCTCAGTCCATTTTGTAGCTACAACGTAACAAATTTCTTTAAATTGCTTAAGTCTAGAAAATAAGTTTATTTTAACTTTCTTCCCTTTAATATAAGCTGTTTCTTACTGTAGAATATTTATTCTGGTTGCTTGTTACTCTAGGAAGGCACTGGAAATTAACATCTATGTAAAGACTTGTGAAAATAGGATACATTTAAAGTTGTCAAGTCATAGATAATAGTGAACTCTTCTGAGTTAAAAGTCATCTAAATCAAAAGTAATTAGCTTTTATTGCTTTAAGCAAGCACTATCCAGTTTCCTGGGTAAAAAAGGCAATGCTCTTGGTTGTTTTGTTTTTATTAATCACTACTAAAAAAATACTTCTGTTTTAGTTAGGGTTTCTATTGCTGTGGTAAGCACTATGACCGAAAGCAACTTGGGAAGGAAAGGGTTTATTTTGCTTTACACTTCCATATCACAGTGCAGTCCATTGTTGATAAAAATCAGTGTAGGTGCTCAGGGCAGGAATCTGGAAGAGAGCTGATGCAGAGGCCATGGAGGAGCCTGCTTACTTGCTTGCTCATCCTGCTACTGATAACTTTTTCTTGAATGGGTCATCCTTAGAGTAATTTCAGTGATTCACATTTGCTATTGCTTAGGAGAAATGTGCTTGAAAACACTGATTGTAGGAAGCAGACAGTGTATGTGGGGAGCTGTTCCCTGATGTCTTAGCCAACACCAAGGGCAGGCTCACAGGAAACCCAACTGTGTAACACCGCTTGGCCCTAGTGTTTATTTGTCAAGTAGACAAGTGATGGGCTGAGCCTGTGAGGAGAACCAGATGATGGGCTGTGGAGATGGAGCCATAGTTAATGTGCTTGAAGCATAAGCCAGAGCTCTGTAGGAGGCTCAGTGGAATGTTGAGTGAGTGTGGAGGCCCACCTATAATTTCAGCTTAAGAAGCTGACTAGTGTGATCTTATCAGTGAGCTCTGGGTTTGATTGATGAATAAGGTTCAGGAGCAACCAGGGATGATTCCTGACATCTACCCCAGGCTTCCATATGCATTTGTACACACAGACACATGTAGCCACATTAATGTCTACACACATGCAGACATGTTTGTATATACAGTGTGCATCACACACTACACCAAAAACAAAGAAGCAGCAGTAGAGTGGAGCATGTATCCCCAGGAATGCTAGCCACCTGGAGCCTGGGCAGGTGGACAGAGCACAGCCACAGCTGCTGCTCTAGAAACTATACTTTTAGCTTCATCATATGCTTTGCTTATTTTTCAGTATCAAATTTAAGAGAAATATTCCTTCCTAATCATTAAGTGTAAACTCTGGCTTATAGGCAGTTCTCTTTGTGTGATTATTTTTTCAACATTAAGGATTCTGTTTATATGGACAAAATGTTCTCATAACTCAAACACTTAAATAATGCAGCCATGTCCGGAAAGCCAAGTTTCCAGTTCTCTGGGTCTCCTCCATGTATCTATTTCCTATAAATATGTTCATCATCTCTTTTTGTAGATATAAGCAAATATCAGTGGGTTGTGATTTTATTTTTTTTTTTTATAGAGAGCACTGTGTAGCTTGTCCTGTCCTGGCTTTCCATTAGTTACTTATTATATATGCTCTTGAGAGTGTTTGATGTTAGCATTTAGTACGTGTATAGTGTTCATTTATAGAAAACATTTTTAAAAGCGTGTATTCATTTTTTTCTGTATATGAATATTGCTTGCATGTATGTCTGTGTACCACATGCATGTAATGACCTTAGAGGGCAGAAAAGGGTATTGGATTCCCTGACACAGGAGTTACAGTGTTGTGAGCCTCCATGCGGGTTCTGGGAATCAAACCTGGGTCTTCTGCAAGAGCAGCCAGTGCTCTTAACTTTAGAGCCCCTATTATGAGCACTTTCCCGCCAGCCTGATCCCATAGCCTCATCAGCCCCAAATAACATGCAGAGACACTATATTATCAAACTGTTGGCCTGTTATTAGCATTTCTTATTGGCTAGCTCTGTCTTAAATATTAACCCATTTCTATCAATCTAAGTGTTTCCACATGGTCTTGGCTTACTGGGAATGCTGGATCAGCATCTCTTTTGCTTGCTACATCTCTGCAGAGAAGAGAGTTATTTCCTGTTTGTCCCTGCTTATATTCTGATTCTGCCCAGTTACGTCACTTCCTGCTGTCTGTACAGACCTCCGGATATCTTTGGTTAGCTAGTGCAGTATCTGCCATGCTACATCACTTCCTACCTGGCCAATCAGTGTTTTATTCATCAACTAGTAAGACAGACATATATACGAAGAACATTCCCCATGAAGCCCCAGAAAATGTTTTAAAACAGCTCGAGGCTGTTCTGTACTGGGTCTGCTCAGCCAGCTCCACTTGGAGACATTCATGTTGTCTTCAGTCTTACAGACTGTGCAAACCATGATGATATACTCCAGAAGTGGGTTGCTGGGTTAGTGGGCTGTGTGTTTTAATTTTTATAAATACTTCCTTGCTTTCTGAGTTGCACCATTTTGACCTTACACAGGTATGATTGTCCTCTGTTTCTGTGGAGGGTTGATTCCAAGACTCCTGTGGAGATGATGAAATCCAGGCTTGCTTGAGATAGTGTTTACCCCACAGGCTGTGAAATAATCTGTGGATTACATGCTGTGTTGGCTTTTTTTTTTTTTTTTTTTTTTTTTTTTTTTATATCAACTTAACACAAGCTGAAGTCATCTGAGAAGTGGGAACCTCAAATGAGCAAATGCCTTCAGACAATCTGGTTGCAGGCAAGCCTATAGGGTCTTATCTTGATTAAGGATTGATTTGGAAGGGCCCCATTGTGGGTGGGGTCAACCCTCAGTTGGTGGCCTGGATTCTGTAAGAAAGCAGGCTAAATAAGCCATGGGGAGCAAGCCAGTAAACAGCACCCCTCCATAACTTCTGCATCATCTCCTACTCTAGGATCCTTCCCTATTTGAGTTCTTGTTCTGATTTCTTTCAATGAATAGCGAGTGATGAAATAAATCTTTTCCCCAACTTGCTGTTGGTTGTGGTGTTTGATCATAGCAATAACCAAACTAAGACACATACTCAGCCTGAATTAATGATTGTGCTATGTTATTCTTGTTTTGGGACTGTGCATGTAGAATTCAGAGTATAACCAGTCTTCACCTTCACTTTAACTCTCCAGCCCCATTAAAGAAAGAAAGAAAAAAAGATTCTTAAAAAAAAATAATAAATTGTGTCTGTAGGTGTTTTGCCTGAATATGTATCTGTGCTCTTCATCATGCAGTGTCTGGGGACCAGATGATGTTGCATTCCCTGAGTCTGGAGTTATAATAGTTGTGAACCACCATGTGCTCGGAATTGAAGCTGGATCTTGTGGAAGAGCAGCCAGTGCTCTTTACCATGGAGCCATTGCTCTAGATTTACATCTTTTTCTTTAAGGTTTACATGGTTTCTGTTGGTCTTCTATGGAACCTGAGTTTGGTTATACTTACAGAAAGGTGTCCTTCCTTATTCCTGTTTCTGTTAAGTCTGTGGCTTTATTTCTACACTTCAGTCTTTGGTCCTTTTAAGATTTAGCCTGGTGTTCTGGGAGTACAGAATCAGCTGCATCACTGCAAATATCCACTGTACTCTGGTGTATTTGCCCAGAGCCTGTCTGGGAACTCAGTGCTGGCTATCATTTGTGTTAGGCACATCTTTGCACTTTGTGTCCTTCCTTTCTAGGGGAAAATAAAAAGTGAAATCACATTAAAGAAATAACTCAAAAGTCTGTTTAGCTTTTTTCAAGCCTGGATTGCTTCATCTATAAAAGGAGTAATATGGAGGACACTAATAGACATATACTAAGGAAGAAGGGGCAAACTTAATGCTTAAGTCTGTTCAACCTCTGCCTTCTTGCATATTGTTTCCTACACTCTCCTTGACATTCTTTTGAAAGAGAAAAGACACAGGAATGTTAAAGTTAGAATTAAGATCTTGGTCTGAACAGGGTCATTACCTTCTTTTTCCAAAAATCATTTTGCTGTGGTGGTGATATACCCAGGGTCTCATTTTTACTAGGCAAGTACTCTACCACCAAGCTAGGAGTTCTGGCTTCCCCCTCTTTTTAATTGTTAAATTTTGGGTAGAGTCTCTGAGTTTCTCAAGCTGGTCTTGAATTTACTGTGTAATTCAGTCACCTGTTGTGCTTGTAATTCTCCTGCATCAGCTTCCCTACCACCTGGGATTACAGACTTACCCTGTACAATCAGTAACCAATACATTTGAGAATACAGAATGAGGCTTGCCTAGCATTCAAGGCTTCCTCCCTTGTATACATCCTGGCCATGATGCTGCTAGGTGTGCCCCAAAGTTTCTAGAATACTATCCAAAATGTTCTGTTGCCTCATGCTGCTATTCAAGTGTGGCATTCAGTAAAAATGTCGTATCCAGCAGCTTGTTCAACTGGTGATTTGTACCTCAATAGGTTGGAAACAGAAGAGACAGCATGTCCTTCTTATGAAAAACACCTAATACTCAAGCAAACACTTGATAGAGGCAAACCAGATGTTAAATGAGTGAAGGAAGACTCGAATGTGGTCTTCCTTTTTCCTTGCAAGTCAGGTAACTCATCTCATCTGTTATACTTAGCCCCTTGAGGAACCATAAACAAACATTAGAGAGATATATTAAGAGGTAGACTTCTCTTTATAAAAAGCTATACTAACAAAAGCATGAATGTTTATACAACATGTATGTTCGAGAGCCTCTAAGGAGTCCCTGGCTGGGTCATCCATTGTGACCTTTATGTCTGTAAGTTGGGCACTATTGGTACACACACACAGAAAATGGGCCCAGAGATATGATGGTTGACTGAAGATACCCTGGTTGGTGCAAGTGGTCTGAGGCCCATGCCCAACTCTGAGTCAGATGCAGAATTCCCGTCATCTGTGGGTCCCTGAAGGATTTAGAAGTTTTCCCTTCGTGGTCAGGGTTTTGTTTCCTGGCCATCCCCTTTTTTGTAACCTCCTTGCTCCTCTGACTTGTCTGTAATCACCTGCTGGCATATGGTAGGTGGTCAAGAAAAAGTGATTTCCACTTTATTTATTTTCAGGTTCATAATAAAGGTGCTAAGGAAGAGAATGTAAGACAGGACAATAAATATTTTTATTGAGGTAAGTCTTTTATGATTTTAAAACCATTTCCTTTGAAAACATAAATTCTTCACAACTTCCCTTCTCTGATGTAATGAGTGGTTGTCTTAGGCGTGTTTGAGGTTATGAAAGCTAGGGGTTATGAGGTGTATGTGGGGGCTTCAATTTAAATTTGTGCCTTCTCAGAGAAAGAGAGCAAGAGAAAACACACACCCACACCCACACCCACCCACCCACCCACCCACCCACCCACCCACACACACACACACACAGAGTGCACATGAAGTGGTCAGAGGACAACTTTTGTGAGTGGTTCTTTTCTTCCATTATGGCATCTGGATCAAACTTAAGTCCTTAGGCTTTTGGTCCAAGTTCTTCTCCAACTGAGGCATCTTGCCAACCCTAACAACTTTATAATAAATAGTTCACAATTAAACCAAGGTGGACTTGGTAGGCAGTAGTAGGTCCTGAATGAAGGAGGTTCTCCTGTGCCTCCTCTGATAATCCCTCTGGTGTCTTACTGGGTGGGAATAGTAGTATAATCCCCTATTCCCCATTGTTCTGCAGTTCTTGGTTCTGTAATCTTTTTTTCTATGGTAGTGTAGTAGTTGTTTATACAGCCCTTTTGTTCTATTGGTGAGAATGCCTTGAAACCCAAGTTCTAAGTTATTGGTTAATTGAGTAGTGAATGGAAATCTTAATTCAAACTCAGTGCATTGGTGAAATGCACTGTAAGCTGATCTCAAGGCTTTCTCACAGGTGACTATTTAAATGGGGTGTCTCTAGCAGCTTCCTCCCATTGCAGGAAGGGTTTCGAGTTTAAACTGGCAGACTCAGTGGTTACTGGATTAAAAGTTGGATAGAGGTGTGAGGTTGAGTCAGAGCATTCAGGATATGTGGCTGTGGGTTTTCTAGATGAAGTTGCTTTGCAGTGAGGGTGATTAGGTTGAACTATATTGGGCAAGGAGTCTAATTGCTGCTGTGTGGTGGCAACAGTAGGCCCTCAGAGTTTGTCCAAGAGTTTTGGATGAGGGTGGAGGGGGAGAGGAAAGCAGTAGCCTGGGGCCACAAGTTATTTCCTAAGTTCCACATCCCTTAGTTCTGTGTCCCATCCTCCCTGAAAAATTTGCTTCCTTGTCAGCCCTGAGAAGTGTGCCTTCTGTGTGGCCTGATAGAAATTCATCTAGAACTAGGCAAAGGATGGCTGCCATTTTGGAGCCTAGATGTTGATTTTACATGTAATATGAAATTATTCTGCAAACTGGCCTTTTCCCTCTATCTAGTATAGACACAGCTCCATACAAGCTCTTTTTCCTTCTTTAACTTCAGAGAGAGGGAGGTGAAAGTTAGTTGTGTATGTTAAACCCAGAAAATTTCATCTTGATTGCATTTCAATCTATTCTGGTGTGACAGAATTTTCCAGCCAGAGCTTGTTCTAGCAGCCATCAGTCAAATGAGAATTGCTGTCAGGGGAAAGGATGCCCTCCCACACATCTCTCTGAGTGCTTGAAGCCATCCCACTTCCTTTTTCTTTTACCTTGAGAACTGACTGCTGACACTTGGGAATTATAATCAGATTGCATCAGTCTTATGGAAAGGTTACCAATTACTGTTCTGCACAATATGCACTTCAAGTGTCTCAGTTCAGTGCTTTTAAATGCCTGTTAGGTGAATGAAGGCTTTTGTGTCACGCCCCGATTTAATACATTTGATGAGAGACTTTATTGATGGCTTTTTGTCTTCAGTTCTGTGATGGGGGCTGCATGGAGGAAGGAGGTTATTTAGGATGAAGTCTTCATGGAGTTTTTTGGTGGTTGCTCCATGAAGATTGATCCTGAAGAAGTGTGCCTAGTTAAGTGACTGGGACTGAGGGTAAGCTATGCCTGGGGTGACACATGGAGTTGTGAGGGCAGGAAGACATTTCCTGGTGGAGCATTCTTGAGTACTGTGTCCTGTTTTCCTGGCCTCATTTTGTTAATTCAGTATCTGACAGAAGGGCACAGTGAGATTGTGAAAATTGTCCTTGGCCATGTAGCTAGTAGGTTTTAAAATGCATGACTGAAATCCTCTCTTTGGCTCTCAGATCTGTCTGTCTGTGTATGTCACAGGATGTAGGTATTATGTTAGGAATAGTTAGTGTCTCTGGTGTTGTAGGGTCTGCAGTTTTGAACAGGGTGACAGTCATGCCAAGTGGTCCCTCCAGTGCTATGTTCTCTTGATTTCCTATGTCTTTAGCCATTGCTGGATGAAGTCTCAGCCTGCCAGGGTGTCTGGCAGTGTTCAATACAGCATAGTCTTATTTAATTTAGCAACTCTCAGAGATGAAAATCAGCTGACAGCCAAGTACAAACAGGCCTTCTGTAGGATGTTGATGTAGTCAGAGGAGAGAATGCTTGTTTCCCTTATTCTGTGCCAGTCAAGAGGTTGGCAGATTTTCTCCTCGTGAGGCAGAGGGCTTAGACTTATTGACGTAGCTATGACCAATGGGAGATTAGCTGTGTGTTGGAGAACACTTTTCCTCATGCAGTCTTGAGTTGGTTCCATCCTGTACCTACTGGCTGACTATAGATTGTGTGCTCTTTTGTTCTTGGCTCTATTTATCTTGGATTTCATTATATAGTTGATCAGAAAGGGGATTTATTGGTAGGAAAGTCAATCCTTTCCTCATTTGAAAAGATTGTGTGTTCTTAAAACAGATTATCCTGCTACAGGCAGATTCTAAGCAGGCCCCAGAGTAGGGGCACTACTGTGCTATGTCTCTATGCCATTATTTCCTAAAATAATAGTTTTAGTCATACTAAGTCACATACTGCGAGGTTCATAAAAGTGGTTTTTAGTTTGTTCACAGAGTTCTACACCAGTCACTATTGTCTAAGTTCAGAATACTGTGAGCTCTCCATGAAGATATGTCTAACTCCTCCACAGTCGCTTCCCACTCATCCCATTCCTGTCCATGCTAATCTTTGTCTTCATAGATTTAGCTATTCTGGATGTGTCATGTAAATGTACTCATTTAGTATGTGGTCCTTTTAGTTAGGGTTTCCATTACTGTGACCATAAACAACTTGGAAAGAAAAGGGTTTATTTCAGCTCACAATTCTTGGGTCACACACTTAGGGAAGGCAAGGCAGGAACTCAAGCAGGGCAGGAACCTAGAAGCAGGAGCTGATGGAGAGGGGAGCTGCTTACTGGCTTGCTCCTTGTGGCTTGCTCAGTCAGCTTTCTTATAAAACCTAGGACCACCAGCTCAATATGTGATATTGCCCATAATGAGCCCTTCTCTATCAATCATTAATCAAGAAAATGCACAATACAATAGGCTTGCCCACAGGCTATTAAGTGAGTCATTTTCTCAGTTGAAGTTCCCTCTTTCAGAATGACTCTGGCTTATGTCAAGTTGACATAAAATTATCCAGCACAGCATGTTATTGAGGTTCATTTACATTGTAGCAGGTATCAGAGCCTCCTTTTTACATTAATATATTCAGTTGTGTAGATATACAGTATTTTGTTTATCAGATGATGGACATTTGGGTGCTTTCCACTTCTTGACTTTTACATATAATGCTCTTGTGAACTGTTTTTTGTTACGTTTTGTTTTATTAGTGGCTTTTTATTTGTGTCTTGGGGTGGGAAGTGGAGGTGCACAGAATAGGCTCAGACTTTGGGGACAAGAACTTCTCATTATCTCTGGGGACTGTTTCTTTTGGTCCTTGCTGCTGGGTGTGCTGTGCATGAGGCACCTGCCACCCATGGCATGTTTAAGCCATGTGCACAGGGAACCCCACCCCACTCCACCTCACCCCACCCTACTCTACCCCCCCATCCTACCCCCCCCACTCCACCTCACCCCACTCTACTCTTTGATCAGTTGTAAGTTTCTGTGTTAGCCAACATCGACTGCACAAAGAAGCTTCTCTGATGAGTCCTGAGAGCTGCACTTGTCTGTGGAAAAGAGACATGAATTTAGAGAGGAGTTTGATGCTGTCTCCATTTAACAGAATAATAGTAGTAGGTTTAGTGACATGCCCAGCCACAAATGTAACATCTTTACTATCCTCTTACAAGGGGAAAGGAATATCACAGAAGAGTGGGCAGAGATTGTAAAAGCCAGAGGTTAGGGAGGCCCAGAGAAAGCTATCTTCTGGATGTGACAGGACTTGTGCTCATGAGCTCACAGCACCTGAGGTTGCCTGCACAAGATTAAGCCAGTCAACATTTTAACGTGGAGTGGGGTTATGACTCCTTCCCCCAACTAAGGGGCTGTGGATAGTTAAGGGCTTCTGGGGAAGAGTTAGTTTTTTTAAGGGTATGTCTCCTGGCAGTGCAGTCACTTGTGGCCCCACTGCCAGGAGGATATGGACAACACAAATTGGACTCTTTGGCTTATAAAAATAGAAAAATAAGATGAGGTTATAGGGAATAGGGAGGTGAGGATGTAGTTAAGGGGTGGAGTTGAGTGAATATGATCAAAATACACTGATAAAATAAAGAATAAAAAATATACTACAATAGCTTTTCAATTGTAGTTATAGTAAAGTGTAGGTTTAGGTGTGATGCTTTGATGCCTAGGTTATTAGAAACTCAAAGAAAGCCACTTGACTTCAATTTCTTTGTGCTTGTAGGAATGAAAGCACCCTAGTAATGGGTTCAGCATGTGTGGTGGTAGTCTGAGATTAGGCTCCTTCTCCAGGGTGCTCAGGACATTGCACTCTGTGCAGAGTACTATGTCTTTGATTGGCTAGGGAAGAATATTGGTCATGGGAGTTGAATGTGTCCTGTTGCAGAGTTTACATTTTGTCCTTAGCAGTAGGTAGGGGCATTACAGCGTCTAGCAGAGAAAAAGGGTGATATGATATAGTTCCTGTACTCCAGGGCCTGAGTGTGCTTTGTGCTGCTGTACCTGAGAGCTGGTGAGGCCCCAAGGTGGGTGCTGGGGTGCTAGTGAAAAGACAGAGGCTGCAAAAGCACAGTAGTCAGGATCCTGGCTGTAAGTTAACAGGAAGGTTCATGCATAGTGT